GTCTCTTTCTGACTGCAGTTCAATTACTCACTGTCTACACACACATTGTTCTTCCGTCCCGTTGTCACCCTCTTTTATATACCAGAATACCCTATATCTAGTAAATGCTAGAGCATTCGCCAAGGTACAGGATAGTTCTAGAAACGTGGCGTCACACTAGTCATGTGACTCGCTGATGCAACAATACTTAAAAAATAATCAACATTTAACTTTCTGTTCGCACAAAATATCTATTTGTGACAACTCGGAGGTTATTACTCACTTAAAGAAAATTGGTTCTATAATCAAAAAGTGTTTTGGTCACATGTTTTAAGATGAACTTTGACGTAACGCGGACATTTCATGGCTGTTGTGAAAGGTTAATTTCAAAAATTATTCTCGACTTTATAAATTTATATCAGATGAGCGGACAAGTTTTCATGTGTGTAAAGTGTTACGCCTAACTGGAGTGTAATTATTTAAAATGGAAAATTATTTACCTTTCCTAATTATCACCAGTTATATTAATATAAATATTATCAGGTGATTATGAGGACAGAAGGAGTTAATATAATATCAGTCTCGTGCTTAACTGACTTGAATATTAAAGTATCCCAACGGTACCAATGACCAAACAACATTACAAGTTTAGTAAAGTATTTTTCACAGTGTTCAGTGAGCTCTAGAACTAGTGTTTACAGAATGGTAAGCTAGGTGAAAATGTTTTCTTGAACGCTGTTTCAGGACTTATTTTGGTAACCGGAACGTTTTTCCGACACTCATTGGGCAACAACAAAAAATCTTTTTATAATAAACTTTGTTAGAATTTGACCACAGACAAAGGTTTTAAAATATTTTGGTTCACGATATTCTTTGGTAAAAGTAGAGGTTTTTTAAAAAGCTTAATTATTACTGTACACGTCAGTGCTTTTGTGTAGGAGTTCAAAATTAATTTAGGTTTGTTTGTTTGGAATCATGCACAAAGCTACACAATGGGCTATTTGTGCTGTGCCCACAACGGGTATCGAAACCCGGTTTCTAGGGTTGTAAGTCCGCAGACATACAGCTGTGCCACTGGGGGGCGCGAATTTAGGAAACCGTAACTTAAAAACCCCTAAAATGGCCATATGTTACTGTAGATATATGTGTGTGTGTGTAAAACTGCAGGTTTAATGAAACAAGTTTATGTCTTTGATATTGATGTTTGAAATACACCAGTCTTTTGTTTCTCGCCATGCCTACCAAATTTTCCATTTCACATCTATGTCTTACTTTTTTTTCACTACTCTTATGTTAATAAATTGTTACAAGTACATCCGTTTAATGCATTGTAATTTTGTAAATACTAATACACAGTGTCAAAATGCCTCACTTACATCTCGCTACAACAGACTGAGACGTAAAAAAAAAATCTGATAACAGATCAAGAACAGAACAAAACTGTCAAGTGAAGTTGAAATAAAGACGAGTTGTTTAT